ATAATTTCATTGTAAAGGCGCAGCCTTGGCGAACTTTCTAATATAACTTTTGATATAAATTTGTCCCTAATTAATTAATTATTAATTATTATTCTACCGAGTGCTTGAATTGTTGTCGAAGAAGTCATTGGTTTTTCATTAATTACAATCTTTTATGCAATTAATTTATTAATTGGATGAACATATAATGAAGAGAATATCCTTGGGCATCTTCTTATATGACTTTTGTTCACATTTTATTTTTAGATTTATTCATTAGTTAATATTTTCTCGAAAGATTATCCCAGTCAATATTACGAAATCATGAACGCCATAAAGTAATTATTAACAGCAAGCTAATTAGCAACAAATTGTTATCGAATTTTATATAAGAATGTTGCCAATAGTTCCAGCTTCACGATGGAATTATAAAAGTTTATAGATTAATTACAGAAACTTGGTAATTTGTGATTTTTCCCTGTCGAGTCCATTCTATCCTTTTCTAACCGCATTCTTTCCTTTTTTATCACGGGACCAAGGTTAGACGACCTTCTTACACATTCTATATTCCTATTACTTTCTGAGCTTCTGGTCCAAAATCATAGATGGCGCTGATCGAAGGCGCTTGAATTTGAATCGGTTATTATTCTAATAAATTAATCGGACAGTAGAAAATTAACAAATTCTGAGTCTGAGTAATTAATTCGTGAATTTTTATAGCTGCATCGCAAAGCTGAAACTATAGGCAACATTCTTTTGTCATCCTCGAGAATGATTTGATACTAATTAATCTGTTATTCATAATTAAGCTGATCGCTCGAAATTTTATCTGTATCTACTTTATTGAAGGAAATTGCGTGGTATCAACGGGTTGCATTAGGTATACGTGGAGTTTATTTTCCTGAACAAACACCCTTTTATTTCTATAGTAATATGTAAAAGATAATAAATAATAAGTTTGACATATAAAGGCAGAAAAGGGATAAAGGGAAAATTTACAATTGTTACACAAATTTATATAAAATTTTTTGTTAATTATAAAACAAAATGATGTGCGAATGATTCTGTTCGACTTTTTACATTACGAGTAACGATTTGCTACTTCACAAATAAATATAAATAAAAATAGTTATTATGCGGCTATAAAATTATAAATACCTATAAAATACTTACGTATGCGTAGTCGATAAAACAGAGTACAGAAACGTGTAGCAACAGATAGAATGTAATTTACAAATTTTTATGTTTTTAATCATTTTAATAAAAAGTATTTATAAATATTTATAAATTTTTATGTTTTTAATCATTTTAATAAAAATATTCCAGATTTGAGAAAAAGGTAAAAGCTTTATACAGTGTAATCAATTCGTCGGTTATGGATAGTTACTAGGTTAGGAATTCTCTATCTCATCGCCATCTGACTTGTGTAATGCATATGCAAATAAAACTCGTCACTTAATATAAACAAAACTGCATTCACTCCCTTTGTTTTTATAATTAAAATGACATATTCATAAGCTTTTCAATTTTTCTTCAACATTGAACCATTTATGAGTTTTCTAAAGAAGTCTGTTCATTACCTCACCTGGGTATATATTATTGGTATCTTATTTTCTTTTGCAGCTTCTGTTATATGTTAACATTGCCTGATTAATTTGACTCTTTCTACACTTTCTACGCTTTGTATGAAAGTGTCGCCCATTTACTAGTTTTAAGAAATATAAGTTATTACTTTTGACTTTCTCGCTGCTTCAGTATCTTTTAATACTTTCCTTATCACATAGTATCTGTTTTATTTCTTCAAGTATCACACCTACCTCACTCTAAGTCATTAAGACCGCAGCAGTTGTACTTTTTACTTCTTCAATAAATCACATTACCATTCTGATATATAAGAAATCCTCCCTATGATTTTGCATTAGTAGATCAGACACACAAAGCATCTGGTTCTTGTCTTATTTTTTTTATTGGATCAGAAAATTCAAATATAAAATAATTACCTGAACCTCTTAACTAAGGTTAAATGCTTTTTAGAGTATCCATTTATATAACATTTCATTGATTTTCATGCTTATTCAAAGGCTAATTGATATGCATTGACCGCATTGCAGTTGTTCAACATGCATGTTTATAAACATTCACAATCTTTATAATGGTGTTTTGTAAGATTCAGTAAATTTATTATATAGTCAAATGTGAATAAAAAGCTATTTACATACAAAAGTGCTTACTATTAAGATAAAAATATATTTTGACATGAAGAATAACTTGATGGAAAGGAACACAGAAACTATTTGATTTTATAACTATTCACAGAACTGTATATATAAAATATACATTTCTTATAAATTTTTAAAACTTACAAAATATTCATTATAGAATGACAATTTCATCTACTTAAATAGCAAAAATCATTTAAATGTTCAATTATATTTATTACAAAATAATAATAAAATCTAGAAGTTAAGGCACTTTAATGTGAAACATAATGCAACTTTTATCTTATAAATATAATGATGTATAATACATAGTTAATAATTCTTTTCTACCTTACATTAAACTTATTTTGATATCATAATAGCATATTAAAAATTTATATAAATTAATATTAATTTATATTAAGAAAATAATTTATATATTTATATTAAGACAATAAGTAATTAATTATCCCTTAATTATTAACTCAAATTTAAAACTAATACATCAATTACACATTACTAATCCCTAAACTTGGCCAAGTATGTCAAACTTAATTAACTAATACATCTCAAATGTGAATATACAACTTAATTATAACTATTAATAAATAATATTTGCTCAGAAAAGCAAAAAAGAAAAAGAAATATATATATAGATATACAGTTATTTAATACAAAGTATAAAAATATTACATATTTATTATAGCTACAATCTCATACATTTAACTCGTCTTACATCTAAAGAAGGGCTTACCATTGCGCGTGTCACAACATCACGAGGGTATGGAATCCTTCCAAGCACAACCGCAGCTTCAAACCTGTGAGGTATCACATTTTTCGATACTTTCTTCAAATCACGTAACTTCTTTTGCACCACTTCGATCGTCTCTTCGGCTACGAAATCTGTTCCAAATATCTCTTCCCTTATTTTTCTCCTTGTACTTCGCTTATGATGTCTCGCTGAACATCTGAGATCCTTATCGGACCTGCAAACTTCCAGCCACTTCCGTGAAACTTGCGCAGCGCACAACAAGGATTTGGGATCCAACTTGCGTAATATCAACTGCGATACCTCCAAAGGTAGTTCAGAAATGATATCTACCTTACTTGGCTCTAATAGACCGATAGCACGAAGGAAAGTCCTGAAGAACTCCATGTTGCTCTCCCTTAAACAAAAGTATGACTGATGACCCAGTTAAAATATTTAGGGTTTATATACGGACGGTCACGGTTTACTGACCGTTCCGGAACAGTGAATCCGCCAATCAGAAACGAGTACGAGTGCGCCTATGTAATATAATATGTATATGCATTATATGAAGTAAATTACATGTATCTCTGTATTATAAACAGTGCACACTGTGTATGAGATATGCTTATTTTATAATTGTGTTAATTAATTCCATTTTATTTTATTTTTAACAAAAATGTATCGTTATGATACTATTACTATTACATGAAAAATGAGGTAATAAATAATAGAGACAAATTGCATGTATTCTACCCAATAATAACGTAGATACATCTAATATATATATATACGTTATTTAGTAAATTGTAAATGTTATTTTGAAATTGTATCATTCTAGTATGTATTATATATGCTTCTGTGATATGTTAATTAATTGCAATATTAGTTCAATTTATCATACCAAGTTCTCCTAAAGCCTTTCAGTTTCCATTTTATACGAATACTTTCAATTTGCTCAAAGTCCGTCAGTACAAAACAGTATAAAAGTTTAATATTTCGAAATTTCTACTTCACTTGACTTCTACTATGTCCGTCAACACAAACTCCAATATGGTGAATAGCATAAAAATTGCACGAATGAGGCTACATTCTGCGGTGCATTATCATTTTAGATAAAATACACGATACAGACTAAGATAATCGCTGAACAATTGCTCATTCGAGCAGAGATTAATCAAAGGAATAATTAATGAAGCGTTCTTCAAAGTTAATTGGAAATTCCCAAATGAAAAATTAGGTTGCGTTCCAAGAAAATAGACTAAATCATATTAATTTCGGGATGATGTACCTACATTGAGCGTCATTAATACTTTTAGAATTTTAGAATTTCAATTCCTTTTTTGTTTGTAATGTCACATGTATCGAAAATACGATCTATGTGTAATAATACATTTACTATTATATCATTATTATATTACTATTATATACGTTACACGTGACCCATCAACGAATTATCGAAATCTGAAGAAAACATTCGCCGACGTTGTTTTGGAAGAGGCGCCGTAGACTACTCACGATACCATCGCGAATCTGTATAGAGAGGGTCAACAAACGTCACGAACGAACGTCGCCTGAGTGGACATTCGGCGAGCCGGCAGAAACAAACTGCAGTCACGAGAGGCCGCGAGCGTCTGTGTGCTGGGTCGCTCGAATGCACCGACCGAGGTTTTATCTGGCTGCTCGCAATCTACTCGCGGATGCATCATCGGTCAAGACCGTCAGCAGTGGCGCCAGGGAAAAATAGACGGTCGAGGCTGGTCCGTCCAATGGGAGTCGCGGACCAGTGCCGTCCATGCCGATAGCACATGCGCCCTTCACCCTTGGCCGCAGGCTACGCCAGCAGATGACACGATTTGCGATTTCACCCCTGCTCGCTCGTCTCGCTCTCCTCTCGCGTTCGCTCCTTCTCCCTCCACGGCTCTCTCTGTCATCGTGTCCCGTCTTAGTGGCTAGGAGCGACCACGGAAATACGTGCGATACCACGCGGATTTTCAAGCCTCTCCATCCTGTCGATTCCGGTGAGTAAATTGTCGAAACAAGGCAGTTTGCAGCGATAGCACGAAGCTACTCGATACGCGATATCCTCATAAACAAAACATAGACTAACCCTTCGATATAACGCGGAAGTCGAGTAGAGCCGACCGCCTGCCGACATATTGATTCGACCCGGTGCAAATCCGCCCTGTCCACGTCCGCGTTCCGTGGGTAACAGAGCGATACGGTTCGTCGATAGTCCGCTTGGCGCGTCTCACGATTTCCTAATCAGGGACACCGACGGAGAAAGGGATTTCGCCCATCGGATAAAGTTCGAGTAGGCCTGGACAGGGGTCCTAGCGAGAAGTGCGCCGCTAGTTCGTTGCCGCGGCCATTACGCGAGCAACGTCGAGTGTGAGCAATCGTAGTCCGACGTAATTCTATCTGCCTGATACGTGTTTGCGGAACGAGATTGAGTCGCGTCTGATCTTTCTGTTCGTCGTCGTGCATCGTGCAGTCCTATTGGAAAACAGGTAAGTCTCGTGAAACCGGTCCGCGAACGAGACCGGCAATTTCGTTTCGGCTTAACCTCTTTACCCCTGAGAAACAGAAGTTGCGTCATATGAACGCGAGTTGTGTGTGAACGTCACGGAACGTGTATATGGTTCAACGATCTGCGATCGAGCCCGGTGTGAAACGTTGAATTTTTGTATAGCTTCAGGCGACGTGCTTCGAATAGTTTGAAAGGCGATGCCGACGGAGTCGCGAGCCTGAAATTGCTGATCGCGAAATGGCTGCTTCGGCTTGGTCGCTCCGACTATTATTAGAAGAGGCCGGCGTATGCGAATCATTGCACGCTATCGAACGTGTGCGCTCTGTTAACGCGATTCCATCGTGTTGTCGAGTCGTACGTTGAGCATGGCGTTGGAAATTCGCGATTCTTAAGAAAAGTCGTGGGGGTGGAAGAATTTGCGTTTAGAATAAATATCGATCGGCGGCAATATGGGGTCGCGAGGGCGATGTTTCGTGGGGTGAAAATTAAAGCACGACGATCCTGATCGTCGTCGGGAGCCTTTCTCCTTTTTTCTCATAGGGCTCGACCGAATAAGCGCGCATACTCGTACCGATGGTATTTTCGATGTGGCCCGCATGGGGCCCTTTCGTCGAATCAATACCCTTTGCGGTTCACCGGCTAGCCTCCGTTGACACGTAAATATTAATTGTTCCTTCGATAGTCGATAACGTGCAACGAACCCTGTCCATCGAGCAAGTACGTCGGGGGTTTCGGTCTGACGTAAGTTCCAACGTGCTAATCCGCAACGAATTGCCTTGTAATATGATCGAATATAATAATGGTGATCGAGTATTTACCCCTCGCCAAAAAGTGTTACGTAGGCAATCGATCACCTAGCGAAACCTAACGCGTTTTCTTAACAATCAGTGGCGCGCATCGAGGTTGCTTTTCGTGGAAAATTATCGCGTTTCTTCTTAGTTTATTACCGAGATTATTTCATCACGGTGGTTATGGTTATGGAACCGTAGAGGTTCGTGATTTTTGTCTGCAGTATGCCGGGGGCTTAGATAGTCGCTGAAACGTAGTGCAGCATAGGGGGTGTGTTCTTGTGGGGTTGCTGCTCAGTTCGCGTGTTCTTCTAAACTTTTACGCAATAAGTCGAAGAACATAGTTAAGATGGAGGAACGATACTATTTTTCTTCTTTTCTTTATTGAATTTTTAACGCGAATGAAAAGTGGTGCTTCGCGTAGGATGTGTTTAAAAATATGGTGATTAGTTCGAAGTTGATTTTTGCGTAACGGTTAAATAATTTAAATTGGAAATTCGAATTCTTTTTTTATTACTTTGGATACAATGGTGTTCGTGTAATTTAATTTTTCGTATATTTTTTCGATGTTGTATATTTCATGAGTTTTTCTTGGTTTCTTCTCTTTTCTCGTTATTATCGGTGCAGATTATTGTTTACGATGTACTCGAGAGATTTATCTGTTCTGTTATGATCTATTTTAGAAAACGTTCTATTAATTGCTTCGCAGCTATTGTTTACGAGCTCAATGGTAATTCCATTCATCCGTTGAGCGCAATAATTCTAGAAAGCAGCATGATTCGTCGAATTCGCGCAATCGATACAGTTCCACTTGTCACTGTGTGAAGCATACACCTAAACGTGTCAGGAAACGTTTGTTATGTAACGATACGATATTTCAGCATCTCTTCTGACTGGAACAGATCACATTTTTTCATAATATCGTTAAAAAAGATGATAAATTGCAAAATTGATGAAAAGAGGTACCATCGTTTCAATTTCGTGACTCGAATTTTATTCGTACTATACGAAACAATTGTAAAACTCGAATGAAAAGGAATTATTTATTTTAAAGAATCCAATATACGGAATAAATCGGAATTTGTTTGCAATTTATTTTCATAAAAATTTTTGTAAAAAGAAATTTATTGGAAATCATTTATAATTTGTTATTATAAAAATTACTAGAAATCTTATAAAAAATTAACTATTTATAATTTGCTATACAAATTTTGCAGAATTTTTGTAAGAATTACTTATAACTTCCTTAGAATAAAAGCTCACCTGTTCTACATGTCTTATTACTCCATTTAATCCGTTCAATTCTTCGTTAAATATACGAATCAATTATCCGATATTATTTAACAGGACGCAGATTGCATCCTTCCAAGGGAAATCGATACATATTGCCATTATTCTGAAAACAAATCAAACACGAGGCTGAAGCAGATACAATTGTCACGCATAGTTTGTTAATGAACCAATAAAACTATAGACTATCGGATATCTGGCGTGCCAGTAGTATAAGCACGCGTATGATCGGCCGCGTGACCGATCCGAATGCCTGGTCACGAATTAATGTTTCCTCGTGTCCGATAACGAACAGCGACCTCTGTTATCGAATTCCAGTCAGTCACTAATGACGTGCACGGCCAATTATGCGCGAATGAATACGGACACACTGTGGGTACACGAAACGAATTAATTCGGTGAACTCACCGATTTCTCGCTTGTCACTCTTGATTCTTCTTTGGTCCCGATGTAAATCTCGAAAACCGAATTCCCTAAACCGGAACGTATTCATCGAGCAACACCTGTCTCGATAAGCAGCGAAAATGATGTTGGAATGACCGTGAAAGTAGCGTAAGGGTAGATAACGATCTGACAAATCGGTATAAAAATAATCGTCATCTTATAACGCTCGAGTGAAAATATACTTTATTGATTGGAATGTATACGTCTGAAGTCTATCTTTGGTCAGAGGTACTCGAGCTTATTTATATCGGTACAACAAAGTTGTATTCGAGGGTAAGAAACAGCATCCACAGTGTGGAATTTCAATTTCGAACGAAACATAAAATTACGATACCCAAGAAGTTGATGAGTATAGAAGGTACAAGATCCCGATGAGACTCTAACGTAAACCTTATGGCGAATCGGTAACAATTATATATACAAATTTTCTAGCAAATTTTTCATGACACGAGTAATTAGAAAGATTGTATTTACACAACTTGAAATTTGCAGAACGAACAACGAAAAAGCGAGCATTATTTTTAAACCAGCCGAGGAAACGGTCAGACAACACCAGAGTATCGTTTGAATCTGCGCGACAAAAAGCTGGGCATTCTGAAAAGGATACATGGCGAGACTAATCGCCTTTCCATAAACGCGGAGCGTGCCCAGAAATCGATACCGAAGCCGAGCATTCACGTAGCTGCTCAATCTTGCAGGTAACTAGAGCGTCGACATGGGGAAGGAGAAGATTCATATAAACATCGTGGTGATCGGGCACGTCGACTCGGGTAAGTCGACCACGACCGGACATCTGATCTACAAATGCGGCGGCATCGACAAGCGTACGATCGAGAAGTTCGAGAAGGAGGCGCAGGAGATGGGCAAGGGCTCGTTCAAGTACGCCTGGGTGTTGGACAAGTTGAAGGCTGAACGCGAGCGCGGTATCACGATCGATATCGCCCTGTGGAAGTTCGAGACTGCGAAATACTACGTGACCATCATCGACGCTCCTGGCCATCGCGATTTCATCAAAAACATGATCACCGGGACGAGTCAAGCAGACTGTGCCGTGTTAATAGTCGCGGCTGGTATAGGTGAATTCGAAGCAGGTATCTCGAAGAACGGACAGACCCGCGAGCACGCTCTGCTCGCGTTCACGCTTGGCGTGAAGCAATTGATCGTTGGCGTGAACAAGATGGACATGACCGACCCACCCTACTCGGAGACCCGTTTCGAGGAAATTAAGAAGGAGGTGTCATCGTACATCAAGAAGATCGGCTACAACACTGCCACGGTAGCGTTCGTGCCAATCTCTGGCTGGCATGGTGACAACATGCTGGAGCCGTCGCCGAAGACACCGTGGTACAAGGGATGGAAAGTGGAGCGCAAAGATTGGAACGCTGAGGGGAAGACCCTGATCGAAGCCCTAGACGCTATATTGCCACCGTCCAGACCTACCGACAAGGCTCTGCGTTTACCGCTCCAAGATGTTTACAAGATTGGTGGTATTGGTACTGTACCGGTCGGTCGCGTGGAGACTGGTATTCTGAAACCAGGTATGAATGTGATCCAAGTTAGGAGAAAGGTCGAATAAAACTTTGGATCTTTTTAATTTCTTTGATATAAGAAGTTAGGCCCTAAAGTCTATTTGCAAGTGATTACACGTTCGTTTCCACAGGTATGCTGGTGACTTTCGCTCCAGCTGCACTCACTACTGAAGTGAAATCGGTGGAAATGCACCATGAGGCATTAACGGAGGCGTTGCCCGGTGACAACGTTGGATTCAACGTGAAAAATATCTCGGTGAAAGAGTTGAGGCGTGGTTACGTGGCTGGTGATTCCAAAAACCAGCCGCCACGGGGGGCCGCCGATTTCACGGCACAGGTGATCGTCCTGAATCATCCTGGACAGATCAGCAGCGGCTACACGCCGGTGCTCGATTGCCATACCGCTCATATCGCGTGCAAATTCGCGGAGATCAAGGAGAAGTGCGACCGCCGTACCGGAAAGACTACCGAGGAAAATCCGACGAGCATCAAAAGCGGGGACGCTGCGATCGTAACGCTGCAACCCACTAAGCCGATGTGCGTCGAAGCTTTCCAAGAATTCCCGCCGCTAGGCCGTTTCGCTGTTCGCGACATGCGTCAAACTGTCGCCGTGGGCGTCATTAAGGTACGGTCTTGTCAGGACGTTCACCGCTTCGTATCAGTCTTCCGAATTGGGATTGGATGAAGAAAGTTCTTCGCTTTGTTTCTTTCTTTGTATCTGTATCGTGTACTTTCTTTGTCCTTTTATTCATTGCGGTCTTCATCTTTCCCATGTATTCTTAGACATAAAGAATATACAGAGAAAAGACGAGACACAGTTTAGCTAACTTTGATAACTATATAATAAAAAGAGGAGAATTTTATATTAATGGTTATACTTTGGATCGTTGAAGCTTTGTATTACTCTGTTCTTAAGTTTGTTAGGAATTTTATATGGTATTGGATGTGTGATTTAATAACACTGAATGGCTGAAACGTTTTACAAATTTTTGAAAACAAATATCGTTGCTGAATTTTGATCAACGTAAAATGAGAAATATTTCGTTTTCATAGGAAACGTTTAATAATGTTAATTTTGTTTCAAGAATCCCAGTATTGATTATCCGCGATAATTAAAATCATACTGTGTAACGGGGATTGATTAACTCTTTGTTATATGGTATCGAATACATTCGCAAACATTTCAATAATTTGCAACATTTCATTGAAACTCACATATGTATATGTAACATTCTATGTTCTTTGTGAAAAATATTTCATGCTTTCGTAGCATAAAATCTTTATAGGAGATTCGTGAAATATTAAGAATTCATTCGTATCAACTTGAAAATTGAAAGAAATGTGGTTATTGGAATACTGGTGAATCGCTGTGTATTATTCACCTTTGATATTTGATAGTTTCCGGTGGTCCAAATGTCATGGCAACATGACAAAAATATAATGACTTTCCTTGTTTTATTCCAGGCCTCTGAGATCTCTTGGCACATTACGCAATCTAATTTCGGGTATTGTAACCAGCAGGAAAATTATTTTATCTAAATCCTTCATTAATCGAATGTAAAAGTATTTTTCAGATTTATAACGAAAAAGAAAAGAAAAATATAATGCACATATATGTGGGGTTACTTCTTAATACGTTGAACTACAATTTTTACCAAGTTTTACCGAGACAAAGAATAAGTTTAGTATTCCTTAACACGAAACATTCGTTGCGTGTTGAAAACGATTTTGATATTTCGCCAACATTGTAAATATTATATAGTTACATGAATATCGCGACATTGTATTTATAAAGTTCCAAGAAATTTGACTGCAATACCACAGAAATTTGAATATAATTACAATTCAGAAAGTAGAGTATTTTTTAAGCGTTGTATAATTTTATATAATATACCACAAGGATATAAAAAAGAATGACTTGACATTAACCCTTGTCTGATAGCATGAAACGCTTGGTAAATAACTGATAACGCGACGCCAATCTTGATAAAAAAATGAATGGGACATTTTCTTTATCAAATTAAACACACGAATGTACTTATTCTGCCGACAAAATTAATGAAAAGCTTATCGATAAATTATACGTGTAGGTATCGTAAATATTAAAAATATAATTTTAAAACCACCAAATTTATACTGATGATAATTTGAGAATTTGAAAAACACGACTAAATGAGTATCTAATTGTTGCATAAAGTTGATAAAGGAACGATTTTAATGATAAAACTCGTTGGTTTACAGAGTGTCACCTTTAAAGATACCCAGGGCAAGGTCACAAAGGCCGCGGAGAAGGTCCAGAAGAAAAAGTAACCATCAAGCTTCCTCGGAAGCTCGCAGACCGCCGGCTGGTGCCCGACGAGCATCTCCGTGAAGGGATCCTCTGACCGGATGCAGTACGCCGCGGCTGCTCCATTCAACTCATACTCGACTAATAATAATAATACAAAAAGTGAAAAGATGTTGTGCTTACCCCCGTTACATTATCCGGTAGTATTGAATCCGCGCATCTATCCGAATTTGCACATTCAGTTCACCCACGCCCCGCGCACACCCCACATATGCTAGGTGGATTCTTACGTTTTTACTTAATTCTTTACATTGACGAATATGTGTCCAATTACAAGTAAACAACATTTAAAAAGGAAAAAACGTAAAAAACAAAACATACTCAGTTCCCTTGAACTCTGTGTAGTTAGGTTTTTCAATTAAATGTAACAACAACATTACACACCGATGACCAGACAGGATGATGTCGTGTGAACACAGCTTAATTATGTCAAATAAAACACACGAGGCAGCGGCTGGCCACGACTAGCAGTGATTCCGCTACACTATGATATTCGACTACACTATGTTCACAGTTCGTGAGTTTATGAGAGAAACGAGGTGCGTACGTACATCCATATATACACATACACACGTTCATACACCGCGAGGAACCCAATACGACCGAAGAACCTGACGATTCAAATTGGACACACAAATGGCTGCCTGCTGCTGCCTCGCATCCCGTGACTTTTTAATCGATTTCTTTCCGAAGGATTCGTTAAAGGCTGATTTGTTCGAAGACTTAGTTGCCTCGCTGCGAATAATTTTATTACTTGTATAAGAAATGTATTTATCTCTAGTTAGGGAACATTAGACTGTGCTCCCATCCCTTTCGCGGCTCGAAGGAAACTTGCTCACGATGCAGGAAATCGGAAACGATGGTACCTTGGATTCGTGAGCGAGTTTCCCTTTACGAGTTGCCTGTGTTAATCTCGGTACCCCTAATAGACGCGTTCTACAATTGTTTTGACCCTTAGCCAGTATTATGTTGATGTAATAAAAAAAATTTTAATTGCATTGTCTTTTTCTTATTCCCTTCAACTTGGAATGATTCTATTTATACGATAAGCGAGATTACGTATATGTAGGAATTTTTTAGTACGTAGAAACTGACATTTTAAATCTAGCTCCGTTTGGTAGGCAATAAATAGGAAGATCATGGAAGCTGAGACTGAAGTCTAAGGACTATGGTAAATATAATTTATTCCGCATAAATTCTTCGTTAACGTTACAACTAAACGTGGTATGTACAAATATATATTTAATGCAATGATCTTACAAGAATTTAGTTTAATGCAGGTCTTGGTCAGTCTTTAATTGCTAAGGCCCGTTTGCCAGGGCGCCGAGCAGACTCGATCCGCTTTGCGATCGAAGGTGACAGAATTATCCAAAGAAAAAAATAAACCACTTTCTTCGTACATACAGAACGATCACATAAATGGAATTTGTAACTCAAAGTATTCTAGGCACTTCTGTCGGCTAGCTTACGCTTAGAAAACAGAATTTTGTCAGCCAACTGAACATGTTGCGGGCAATCAGGCTTCAGTTTTCGTGCGAGAGTTAAATATGTTTACATGATCGTAGATTGGTTGCTTCGCAAACGTAGATACACCAATGAGTTTTTATTTAATACTAATTACGATAAACGTAACTCGGAATTCGATACCGTTACGACTTTTGTTCACCACGTGACACATTTGCTCAGCCGAAAAATGAACAGAAAATGAAGCACGGAAGAAGGTGAAACGGACAAAAGAAGATACAACGAAATAAAGATCGATGTAAGAGAAGAGGAAAAAAAAAAAAAGAAAAATGAAGGAACGGGATTCGACTGTGACGATATTGTCGAAAGGAAAAAAAACACACCGAAGCTAAAGCAACCCGGGGCTTCAAGCCCTAATACTCTATCTCTACCTACGATATCTCTACATCGCTCTTTCTCTCAAATCTTGTAAATGCTAAGACAACCCACAGCCTCGGTAAATATACAAAAGAAAGAAAAAACCATCCTCGACGCCTTCGTTCTTCGTAAAACTCTAAACACGCTACATCAGCGTTCCTCGGATAATAACAACTAGAGAACAAAAAAAAAATGAAATCGCGATCACCATTATCGCGATTACCGTGCAACGATCGATTCCTCTCAAAGAACCAATCGAACACGAGCCCCTAAAACATCTTATCGAATCGTTCGATTCGATGATTACCGACCGTACTCTTCCCGGAGTACGATTGATCTGCGTCGTCGCTCGTCTTCGTCCATTCAGAAATAGTTTTCATACCGGCAACGCTATTTTTGCATGAGGGAATCTAGAATACGCAGGTCCAAGCGTATAAACACATGCACGTGCGTACATGCATCGACAGTTGGAACGAGCGAGACAGGACATCGGGTCACATTCAGATACGACTCCTGATTTGTCATTTATGTTTGCTGTTGATGCGTTGGGCTGTGATGATCTGACCACGCTGGCGGACTCGAATGGTTGAAGTTCACCGATATCGTAACTGGATGAAGAACCGTGTCTGGACCGGTGTCCGAGATGAAATTCAAATGAGGCCTTAACAGAGATGCTTCAACGGTTAACGGGACATAGAAAGCGCCACCGTCGTGCAAGGCGAAGATAGGCACACCATGCGAGGAAGACGGTTTCTCCATGTTGGTGGCCGGCGGCGGGCTAGATTTTATCCTCTCCGCGGAAAACCTTTGCTTGATGGAGCTCTTGAACTTGTAGTTGGAAGGCTTACAGTTGGTACTTGGCGGTGTACTGTGCGAATGGGTGCTATGATTGCTATCGTCGCTTACGATTGCCGGCGGTGGGATGATCGTTGGGCGTAGAGGACGCTCCGGATCGCCAAAGGAACTTACACCGGAGCTCGAACCATGATCCGAATGACCATTCGGCTGACATATCGTGGGAATGCTGGTGTGAGCGTAGCCGGTCCCATTCGCGATGCCATTCGCTGTAGGCATCTCGGGATGAGGGAAGCCTAATCTATCGCCTACAATTATAAGTTTCATCAGCATGTGAAAATAATACCAGTGAATGTCGTTTAAACTATATCATTTTCTCATTGCATTTCGTTACTTGAAATTTTCAAGGAAAGTGATTTCCAAACTAATCTCGTGTATGAGTTAATATAATTAACCTAGATTAGTCTCCTCTACGGTCTACAAATTACTGCTTACTGGTAGCTAAGATCTTTTCGCAGTGTTGTTGTAAATGGCTGATCAGTTGAACACACAGAGAGTCCCTGGCGAAGAAGCCCTCTACTTCTACCAGGAAATGCATAGTCTCACTTAGACACTCTTGAAAACCCAGCCTGTAGTGTTCAGCTGCTGTTGATGCGACAGTTGAATGCGAGACACTATCCACGCTGTCCTCGGGATGCGTGTGCACCGATGTCACGGCAGGATGTTTGGATTCTGAAGTTGAATAAAATTATAATAAATGTGACAAGCTCTTGACATATCTAAGTACTTCCTTACGTTGTCCTGATCAATACCTTGTCGAAGACCTTGAAGATGCTTCATGTGACGAATGGCCATTTCAATGATTTCAGTCTTCTCTACTCTTCCTCGACCTTTTTTCAAGTACTCGGCCGGTATCAGTCTGCTCAGGTCGGCCAAGCAGTTATTCATACGATCTCTTCTCCGCTTTTCGATGATCCTGTGAGACATTGGATCTTGCTGTAACATAAAAGATACACGTTATTAGAAAATTTAATTGTTTTCACGTGATAATGCGTTATTAATAAGACGATATCGCCATGCTGTTGTGATATCAGTATTCAATTAATTAGAAAGTATTACATCGTCGATAATATTGTAACCATTGTTATCATAAGCTTCTTAGTATTTTCCCCGATTTATGGTAAGTAGTGTAATATCTACTAAGGCAGTGCTAAATTTGCATTTGACAGAGCTTTCACGTTTATTCCAAGTCAAGTGACTTTTATACACGAACAGTCTAATGAATACTTGTTAGATGTCACTTCACACCTCCAATGACACAGATTTCGCAATTTTCATCTATTACCTGGTAGTTCTTTTTTTTTTCTTTTTTAGTATATATGGTTATCCAATTACACGTTGAGACAGCTAACGAATTAAAAGGTTTTTCGAGTCGTAGAATTAAATGATATAACAATATTATCCAAAAAATATTTTCCGCTTCAAACGATTCGAAGAAATTTATATATGATAATTTAACTACGACGAAATAGAATTTTCTATCAATTTCGATGAGAAATTACACGAAAAGAAATTCACGAACTAAGAAAGAAATATCACCTCCTTATTCAAACACCGTCTTTTCCTCAACGGCGACGAGTGCGCTACCGCATCGACGTGGCTGTTCGTAGGGTAATACTGCATGTTCAAAATGTTGTCCATGCTATGCGTCACCATCGTGTTCCAAAAACAAGAACGCGGGAAGGTAAATAAAGATAGTACGTTGTATTCTTCCTCGATTTTCAAGTATCACACTCGAACAACTTCGAACCGTGGTTCAATATTAGAAGACCTCTTAGCAATTTAATTAGAAGCCTGACGAAACTGTATCTTATATCCAAAAATATTCTTGTAAGTGGCACGTTCAAACGTTTCCTCGAATCGCGCTCCTATATCGCCCTCTTACGACGACGTCACTCGATTCGAATCTGAACGAACGTTATTTTATATTCACTTAAAAATGTCTGTTTCACAATCAACGTATATGACAATTAACTATATACTCCATGAATGAGCGACAGAAAATCATGCATGCTGTGGTAGAAAATGTCTTGTATAGCTCTTCTGAGAAAGACACTGTCAATTATACGAAACAAAACAATACGATTTGTACGTCGCGAAAGCAGCGACGCTGGTATACTATGCGTGCTTCGATATGGCACGACTACGACTGCGATCCACGGCCGGCGGCGCTTACGTTCCTTTAACGAGGAGGGAGATGTCGCTCGACGATGACGCCGCCACAATCACGTGTTGTAAACGCAACGCATATAACGCCCAACACGTGAGGAAACACGTTTTACCGAGGAAGCCTGGCTGGGAATTCTCTTCCGTAGCACTTTTCTTCGTTCCTATAAGACACAACGTGGATGAGTCGAGTGATGTACCATAACCCTCATGCACGAAAAAATCACGACCGAGCCACGAGGAGCATGTTTTTTCTAACCATAGAACACGCAGCTACCGCCTTGAACCAAATACTCGTACCGACCGCGGTTAAGCACGCACGTGACGCTATGGAGTAAATTATTTTTCAGTAATGCCACGAAATAGTGATTGTGAAGTGCGGCCAAGTATTTACGATTGCAGTGGTCGAGATAGTATTTTAGGAAAACTTGCAGTAGGTTAAAATGGAAGAAATTGGGATATAAATAAACCTTTTCAAACGAAATTAGCTTGGAACTGCACAGAAAATATGCATGAATGAGAATCGGAGGATTTACGAGGTTAGGTCGTTTAAGAAAAGTGATTTCATTTTGAGGTTAGTAGTTTCTTAACTGAAATCGATTTACGATCGAATTATGCATTGAGAATCCGCTTTATTTTAGAATGAAACAAGTAGTTTCTAAATTCTCGACTGACGTAAGTGACTAACGAGATTTTTCAAAGTTTCTCGCTATATATGTGACGCAGTATAAGAAATAGTTTAATAATGTAATTTATACATATATACGTAACGTTATGTAATATATTAATATATCGTTATTTTAATTCTTGTACTACTTATCACGATTAATTTCTAACAATTTCGATTAAAATATTTATTCACCGTCTAAAGGCTTTTTTTTTTATTATAGCTTGATATCAATAAACTCAATACCAGCAGAGATTCACGTACTCGGCATTGTCTAACGGATAACGAATGCTGTTGCGTTGCCGACAGGCTCTGTACGGCGAACTATAATCAAGAATTGCTCGTTGACCCTCGACTTCGAAGTTTCTCCTTGTTCCACCAGACACGAGAGAACAGCGATCCGGGAAAGGAGCCGGATCGCGAAAAATCACTAGGGAACCGCATTAACGGGGTCGAGTTATCGACATTCCGGATATAACCAGACTGGGTAGAACTTTGCGGCTGACATCGAAGCCCATGTTATGACCAGGGTTTATCGACAAACGCTTGACCTCCTGCTGTTTTTCAAACGATAACCGGGTATCACCGGATCTAGCAGCTTCGCTACGGCTAGCAACAATAAACGAAAACTGTTAGCATCTCGCGACGCGTCTGCAGTTGTACTCGACGATACATATTGGAAAATATTGATTCGATAACATGCTTTATCCGCTAATCGATAATCCGCTTAGAACCAGTTTGGAAATTCACTATGAGCGAGCATTGATAATTCGCTGTTTGATCGGTCGGTCATTCAGTAAAGCGGAAATCTCTCGGTGTCTGTTATAATGATCAGAAGTTACAGAGGAGGTCGCTGCAGGCAGGGCGTCGTAGCAACGTATAGAAAGATAAGGCGAGAGACGATATTTTAAGATATTTTTTGTTGCTTTACGTCATAATAAATTTAATTCACTGTTACAGAGGACTGTGATATGAGATTATTTGGATGGAAAAAATGAATACAGAAACTTCGCTTTGAAAGCAAATTGAGTTACTCAATATATCTGAATAAGCATACCATAAGCAAAAAAACAAGAACAAATGAGTCGTTGATTTTAAGACACTATTGCAAAACGTGTTTTTCATATCGCTGGTACCCGGAAACGTGACTTCCCACGAAAACCTTACAACGTGACGTACAAAACACGAGTAGCCTTGATATATATATATATATATAAAAAAAAGAAAAAAAAAAGGAAAAAGTGGAAACAGTGCGATAAATTATTCAAATTGAAATGTAGGTGAGAGCAAAAATATTAAAGTAAAGCTTTTAAGAATTTCCAGAAAATTAATATTTTTGACTCCCTCCTTTTGACAGATAAGCAGATGATGCTATAGAGTATCCCTTTTCGCACAAGTTGTCTAATTCTAGAATACTACCTATCCGATGTCTCTAATGGACGATCACGTTGACTGCGAAAAGTACATTTATGAGGACAAACATGTAATCAACATTGATTATGAATAACGCCTTGTCAATGGACACGTGCGGTTTTTAGCAATCCTGACGCAACTAGCCATGTATTATTTCTGTCACGAGCGTTTATCATAATGATCTTTCATGAATATAAAAATTCTTAATCGCTAATTAATTTCGATTCGAATCAATAAATAAGGACAACTTTATTATACTGCAATCTATAGTATCGAATTCAGATATAGATCTTATGAAAGGGCCCAAAGGTTTCCAAGGATCGTTATTCATTTGCATACACAATATAAATACCACGAATACGATTGTGAAATAACGAATTCTGGTATTCATAGGTTTTATACGTGCGAAGGAATACGATAGAGTTGTATTAAAGTCCAAGCCAATAAGCGCTATTTTCCAGAATCGAATCTGCATCGTGCCGGTCCATAATACGATTAACCTCCGATCGGTTATCGAGAAAGCTCCGTTATCGACTTCGTTAATGGCACTGCACGAAGTCCAAGACGATATCCCATAACGACGCACTTGCGTCTCATTCGCAGAAAGCTCATAACAATTGTTACGTCTACGTCAAGCCCTCGTGACGCTTGGTTTGCTCGTAATAAAACTTCAACGAAACACGTGACAAGAGAAAACGAATTCCCCCTTTTGTATCTCGATAACGAATGGCAGAGGGCACTGCAGGCAAAAAGATAGGAAACGATGTTCCTTAGAATGATCGACAATTTAATGCCGGTTATGTTTCGAAAATTGGGAATAAAATCACTTATTAAGGTAAACAAATGTTACCAACGAATGAATCATTAACTCGTATTTCCATATATTCTTATCATATATCGTAACGGTGAAAATGTACTTAATCGTTTAACATTCAAAATAAATATATGAGCAATATGAAAATGATGGGGAAAATAATTTCTTCGCTTAGAAAAACAATTTCCTAATGGAGATGATAACTTGAAGATCGAATGCAGTGAAGGAATCGATAAACGAAGAAAAAATGAAAAATATAAAAAAACCATATGCGTGTAATCCTGTTATTTTATTTCTTAGTAAGTGAAAACGTTAATTTCCGGAACGGACAATCCTGTTAAAATGATGCAGAATTTAACTAATCGGTGACTAAATGGCATCACGTGCGAAACGAATCAGTGAGATGCAACGTGCAACACGTGCAAGTGACGAATGGAAAGAAGAGATAATACGTATCTCTACTTGTAAGTTGAATCGCACCAAGATTGTATTCAACCCAGTTAGAACATTCATTTGTAATTCTATTCTGATACAATTTCGCGACCTTTTAATTCAGTCGGTTATATTTAGCGCGAAATACAAAACTGTATGATACGTAAGGTTACTTTGCGGTAATCTCGCTTATAGTCAGGTTTAGATCGGTCTGTAACCATTATATGATACATAACAGTCGAGCGACGCACTCGGCACGATCGTTTCATCCAGTGATACTCTTCTATTTTAAGAAATAATAGCACTCACTGTTCGATATTAGAAACTTAGCTCAATTTAAGGAAACAAATCGAATGTGAATTCAGAAGCTTGTTATAGAAAAATAATTAAAATTAATATATGAAAAAAATAAACACAATCAAGAACTATATAAAAAATTAAAAA